CCCCCCCCCCGCCTCCCCATGGGCAGCAGTGGGGCTGGGGGCTTCGGGGAGGAGCCCCTCCAACAGCCGGGGGTCGTGGAGGCCCAGCACCGCGCGGAGCTGTGGGGACGGCCAGGGCTTTGCTGCACGACGCACTGGGGACAAAATGGGTGCCCTGCTGGGGGTCCCACTGGGGGTCTCACAGGAGCCCACTGCAGCCCCATTGGCATCCCATTCATGTCCCATTCATGTCCCACTGAAGCCTGTCTGTCCCCACTGGACCCTCCGGAATCCCACCCCATGTTCCACTGGCGCCCAGCGGGGTCCCGTTGGAGCTCACTGGATGCCCCACTGAAGTCCAACCGGAGCCCCTGGGAGGCCATGGCAGCCTCTGGGGTCCCACCGGAGTCCAGCTGGATCCACGCTGGACCCTCGCAGGTCCCCGCAGGGCTGCGCTCCCCTGCGGCCCATCCATGTCCCGCTGGAGCCCCGCTGGATGCCTCGTGGGTCCCCCTGCAGCCCCACAGCACGTCCTGCCGGAGCCTCTGCAGATCCATCAGATGTTCCACCAAGAAGCCTTTGGGGGTCCTATGGATGGCGTCCCACCAGAAGCCGGGGTGCCATCGGTTGGTCCGCTGGAGCCACTGGAGCTCTGGGGGTCCCGACGTCAGCCGTTCTCCAGCGCGCACTGCAGGCCCCGCTGAACGCCCTGCGCGCTGACCGACCCCTCCGTGTTTCTTTGGCTGCTCGGGAGCGAACACGAATCCCATCCTCGCCTTCCGGCTTCACCCCCGAGCACGACGCCCTTCCCCCACGGCGGCTCCGTGCCCCTCAGGTGCCATGGCTCGGGGGGTGCTGCAAGTCCTGCCCTGAGAAGATGGGGTGCAGCAAAGGGTGGAGGTGCAGCGCCGTGGCGGCGGCGGCGGCGGCGGGACGCGGGGCGAGGAGCGTCGGGTAGAGAGCGTGGGGCACCGGGTGGAAGGTGAAGGGGCCCGGGTGGATGGCCGAGGCCGGAATGATGTGAATGGGGTGGCTGGCGAGGAAGGTGGCGGGGTGGCCCGGGATGATGGAGTGGGTGAGGTGGGACAGGGAGATGGGCGTCAGGTGGGGCTGCGGGATGTGGTGCACCTGGGCCAGGGGCTGCGGGTGGGGGTGCGGGTGGATGCCGATGGCGGCGGCGGCAGCGGCGGCGTGGTGCTGCAGGATGGCGTGCTGCACCGTGGTGATGGACGTGGCCGAGGCGGCCGCCGGCTGCGGGATGTGGATGGGCTGCAGGGCGGGCGCCGCGGGGGCCAGCGCGGCCGAGGCGGGGAAAGCCTTGACCTGCTTGGCCAGGAGCTGCTGCTGGATGTGCTGCTGGGCCGCCTGCTGCAGCTTGCTGTACTTCTCCATCTCCTCGGGCGTGAAGGTGATGGGCTGGCTCTCCAGAGGCGCGAGCGAGGCGTCCTCCCCCCCGTCGCGGTCCCCCTCCAAGCCGGGCTCGCCGCCCTGCGGCACGAAGCCGGGGAAGTGCTCCACGTCGGGGACCAGCGGCATCACGGCCTGGCCGCCCCCGTCCACGGGCTCCAGCGCCTCACCGTCAGCCGGGGCCGCGAGGAAGGAGTGGGGCAGCACCAGGTCCCCGGAGCCGAAGCACTCGGGCAGCGCCGGCGCTTCCAGGGGAGCGGAGGGCATCTCCTCCTCGCGCTTCCGCTCCTCCGGAGCCGCGTCCTGCAGCCCCATCGCCGCGTCCCCCAGCAGCGGCTGCCCGCCCAGCGGCGCCTCCTCCGCCCCCTCGGAATCCGACAGCTCCTCGCCCCTCTCCATCCCGCACTCCTCGTACCGCCTGGCGCTGGGCTTCCGCACGGTCGGCAGTTTCCCGATCAAGGGCAGCACGGGTTTGTTGCCCAGAGAGGGAGGGAGCTTGGGGCCGAAGTAGCCCTGCGGGGGGTCTTTGAGCTTGATGCCCACCTTGCCGGCCCCCGCCAGCATCTCATCGGCGACGCAGGGCTTCTTCTCCACCTTCCGGGACTGGACCTTCTCCAGGAGCAGCTTGGCGGTGACGGAGTTCCGCTCTTCGGGGCTGCAGTCGCCCTCCGAGGCGCGGCCGGCGCCCGAGCCGCTGCTCTGGGAGCCCCGGGGCTCCTCCCCTCTGCCGTCCTCTCTCTTCGCGGCCCCCTCGCCTCGCGCCGCTCGGAAGTAGTGCGGCGACTGCGAGCGGTAGATCTTGGACCTGATGAAGTCCCTCCTCCCCGGCCTCCTCTCCTCGGGGCTCTCGTGGCCGCGGGAGCCCTTCCTGGACAGCGAGCGCTGCGAGCGGCTCCTGCTGCTGCGCCCCCGGCTGTAGCTGCGGCTGCGCTTCCAGCTGCGCCCCGTCACGCTGCGGCTTCTCCTCTTGCCGCGACCGCGGCTGCAGCTGCTGCTCCGCGTCCGGCCTCGGCTGCGCGTCCTCGACCTCCCGCTGCGGCTCCTCGACCTGCTCCGGCTCGAGCTGTAGTCTTCAGAGGACGAGTACTTACGCCGCTTCGACCTGCCGTAGTCGGAGTCGTCCTCCGAGTCCCGCGAGCGCTTGGAGCACCGCGACCGCGCGCTGTAGTCGCTGTAGCTGTCGGAGTAGCTGCGGCGGCGGCTGTAGCGGCTGCGGTCGGACGAAGCGCCGGAGCTGCTGGAGTAGGAGCGCCGCGACGAGCGCCCGCGCCCCGACGCTGAGCGGCTCTGCGAGCGCTCGCTGCCCGACCCGTAGTCGTCGCTGTACTGCGAGCGCGCGCCGCCAGAGCCCTCGTCGCTGTCGTCCTCGTCCCCGCTGCTCCGCCGGCTGCGGCGCGGCCCCGGGCACCGGCGGCGTGCAGCCCTGCGCTTCTTGGCGCCGTGCTCGGGGCGCGAGGCGCCGCTGTCCTCCTTCTTCCCGCTGCTGCCCTCCTCTGCCGACAGAGATTTCCTCTGCGACTCCTGCGAGCGGCGCTTCTTCTTCTGCAAGTGGCCGCGCTCCTCGCACAGCTCCGCCTTCAGCGCCCGCTCCGACTCGGTAGAAAGAGAGGATTTCACCTTCTTGTGCCGGCGCCGTCTCCGTTTCCTGGGTTTCTCCTCACCCGGGTCCGTTTTGCAGCTCTTTTCCTCGGGCTCTTCCTTGTGTTTGCGTTTGTGCCTGCTGGACTTTTTGTGCTTCTTTTTCTTCTTGTGCTTGTGGGATTTGCCAGCCTTCCCCCGGCCGCTTCCGCTCCTCCCGCTCTCGTCGCCCTCGCCCTGCAGGCAGCCCTCCTTGCCCTGGGACACCGACCCGCTCTCCGCCCCCCCAGAGCCGTCGGCGCTGCCGTCCGCCTCCTTGGCTCTGCTCACCTCTCCAAACTCGGCGCTCTGGATGCTCTCCCTGCACAGCCCGCCCGGATCCTTGGGCTTCTCGGCCCCTTTCCCTTTTGCGTCTTTGTTGCGGGAGAGCTTGAAGTCGAAGTACAGAGGATTGCAGCTGTAGGAGACGGACGGCTCCGCTTTGGTAAAGATGAGGAGCTCCGAAGGCCACTGCAGAGTGGTGCTCTCATCCTTACTCAGGACCGGGATGAAGGGCCCCGGCGGCGGCCTGGGCCCCTCTGGGGCATCCCTACAGCTCGGGGCAGGCTGCGCAGCGCCGCCGGGCTCAGGCAGGCCGCTCTCTGCCAGGCTCTCGCTCTCCTGCGCGCCGACGTCTCCTGGGCCTTCCTTCTGCTCCCCCTCGCCCTGCTGAGCGCCGCTTTCGGCAGCACTCTGCTCCTTCGGCGGGGCCGTGCTCTCGGCTGCCTTCTCCACGTGCTTGCTGGGTTTGGGTTTAGGGGAATTTCCCTTTCTGACTTCATTTGCGGTTTTTTTGTTCACGTTTTCAGCTTCCGTTTGTTCTGTGGACTTCATGAAAAGCAGGAACTGGAAGTTGGGCTTCACTTTGCAGTGGGCCGGGGGGATGTAATGGTAGTACTCCGGCTCCACCGCCGTCGGTCCGTCCTCCCGCCTCATCTTTTTCAGTTTAGACAGCGTGGTGGCCAGAGAGCCGCTGTCCTTGTCGTGGTCGTCGTCCTCCGCCTTGCCGTCAGAACTGTTTGTGCTTTCGCCCTCTCCGGCTTTCTGCAGGCCCCCTCCATCCGAGGAGCCTTTCTCATCAGCTTTCGCCCCATCTGCAGAACTCGATTCGTCCACGTGGTCCTTGAAAACCGAAGCGATGGTCTCCAGCTTCACCGGAGTCTTCTTGGCAAAGGAGAACGACACGCCGATCTTCTGCAGCGGGGCTCCCGGCGCGCCCTTAATGCCAAAGCTGACAGCCTGTGCTGCCTGCAGGGGTGCCTGGCCCGGCCCGGCGCTGCCCCCCATGTGCCCCACGTTTAGGAAACCCCTGTCTGCGCCCATCTCCCCACCCAGGCCCGACGTCTGGGGGAACGAGCCGCTGTTGGCCGCAGCGCCGTCGTCGTCCCCCCCTTCCTCGTCCACAGCCACAGTCGTGGTTCTGAACATGGGGCCGCTTCCCGGAGCGCTGCGGGAACGAGAGAAAACGAAGGCCGCCTGTTTGGGTCGGAAGGGACCCTTAAGATCTTCCATTGCCACCCCCCTGCTACAGCCTGGGACGCCTCCCTCTGAGCAGGCTGCTCGCAGCCCCGTCCAGCCTGGCTTTGAGTGCTGCCAGGGGTGAGGCGCCCACAACCTCACTGGGCAGCCCGTTCCAGCACTGCACCGCCCTCGCAGTAAAGAATTTCTTCCTAATTTCTAGTCTGAATCTAAACTCATCCGATTTAAAATCACTTCTCCTCGTCCTGCTGCCCTTTTAAGTAGTCCCTACAGCTATCCTGTAGACCCCGTTGGGTCCTAGAAGGGCTATAATGTCCCCCCGAAGCCTTCTCTTCTCCAGGCTGAACAGCCCCAGCTCTCTCAGCCTGTCCTCATAAACCTGCAGTCACATTTCACCTCTTCCAAGTGCCACCCAGGAGCAGCACCGCGCGCCCAGCACCATCACACAACAGCAGGAAACGGCCACTGCTGGGCAGCACAGCGCAGGAGCAACAGCTGGGCCGTTCCCTCCTGCCAGAAGCACAGCGCAGGGCCGAGCCTCAGCCCCCCGCGGCTCAGCACACCTGAGCAGGACGCCTTTACTCACCACTCCGGCTGCCTCCGCTGCTCGGCCAGCTCGTGCAGGCGCCGCAGGGCCCGCTCCTGCTTCCTTTCATCCTTCCGCGATCTTGAGGAGACGTTACGAGCAAACTCCCTTTGCTTGAGATCTTTCAACCTCTGAGGCAAAAGAAAGCGGGCGGGGATCAGAGGAACACGGCCGGAGCCCTGCGCAGCGTGCTGCCAGCCCCCGGGGCCACGGCCTGAGCGGGGGGCAGCTGGGCCCGACACACGGCTCCAGGCAGGCTGCCGCCCGGCACGCAGTGGAGAGGCAGCCTGCACAACCAGCTTTCTTTAGCGGCACGGTAAGGCTGCTTTCAAAGCAAAAAAGCAAATTCTGGAAGGGAAAAAAAAGCAAAACAACCGATAATTAAGAAAAAAAATAAAGGGCTGTTTGTTCTGATGCTCTCACAGGGTGCAAATGTGCAGCAGAAACAGCGCAGCGGCAGGGAGGGGACGGAGCGGGAGCTGGTGTGGAAGTCACCCGGGTAACAAAAGCAATGTGCAGCTTACATTGGAGAAGGTGCCAAAAATCCCATGCGAATGATCGCAGTGAGCAAAGAAACAACACAACACACAGCACAAACAGCGCCCCGCTCTGCTGAGCGCAGCTCCGAGCTCCTCGGGAAACAAAAGCTGCCGGGCGCCGCCAGGGGGTCAGCGCTTCACAGGGCAGAAACGCCGCGAGCCGGAGAGCTCCGGAGCCAGGAGTGTCAGCCATCACAGCACCGCTGGGCACCTGCTGTCCCGCCTGAACAGCGCCGAACAACAGCTTCTGCAGGTCCTGGTTTGAAGCAGTACGACAGGAGGCCGCTGCTCTCCTTCCAACACGGGCAACAATTCCCAGGCTGTTTTTTATAAGCACCACTCAGAAGGTGAAGAAAGTTGCCAAGAAAGACCTCTGCCGCCCTAAGCACTCAAGCACCTCCCGTTTTGTTCGGGGTTTCTGTGCGCAATCTTTCAAAAGACCCAATTTCAGGAAGTGCCACGTAGGAGCTGTTGGTGTTTCTCACGTCAGGTATTTCAGGAAGGGCCCCAAAGACAAACGGCATCAGAGCAGGACTGAGCTAACGAACCCAGCGTGCCAGCCCAGGGAATTACCGAGCCCAATGTAAAGAGAACATTGCTTTGTGGAAGGGGAGATCGGACAAGACAGAGGATTCTCTCGCCTAATCGCAGTGACTAAACACGGTTTGAGCTTTACCAAAACCAGAGGGAAGGACAGACAAAGAATACAGCTACAGACACCGGCAGAGAGAAACTCACTCGTGTGATCTGGGCTCCGAAATTAGAAGGGTTTGCTTTCAATACATCATCTGAAAGTGTCCCATCACAAAGAAAAAAAGAAAGTGAAGATATAACGAGGGTGGGAGAGAGAAGAAAGAGGAAGCAAGCATTACTGGGGAGCTCCCGGCGCGCCAGCTAGGAGCAGGAGCCGGGCAGCACAGCTACGGGGCCGACAGGGGGCGGGGTGCACACACACAAGCGATCCCACCCGGGACAAGCGAGGGCTGAAGGGTCTGCGGGGCGTGCTGGGTGTGGAATGCTGAACTCCTGGCGGAGGAAGGGGCCGAGCAGCGCTGCGCTGGCAGAGGGGCTGCGGGCCGTGGGGGGGCTGCCTGCACCGCGTCTCCCTGCGCTCTGAGTGCTCAGACGGCCTGCACAGAGCAGGGGACTCGGCTGCAGCGCAGCTCCCAGGCACAAAGCACACAGCAGCGAGCTGCCGCTGACTGCAGACAAGAGTCGGCCGTGCGGCACGCGGGGCTGAGGGCCCTCAGTGCACAGCGCAGACACCGAGTGCCGGCTGCACCACACTGACCTGGCAGGGGAGTCGGGGAGCCACCCTGCAGCACTGGGGCGCAAGGACCTTGCTGGGCAACGTGGAAAAACAAAATCTCAACAGCTGCACTGCACTGCTGCCTTGGGACAGCGAACACGGAACTTCACCAACTGCTCCCAGCACGTACCTGGAAGCAGCAACTCCTCGATGCAAGGAGCAGCAGACAAGCCATTAATTGCAGCCGTGCCACTGCTGTCCCTGGTGCAGCCAGAGAGGAGCAGAAAGAGCACCAGGTGCACCTGCACAGCAGAAGAACATCGAGGAACACAGAGCTCCTCGGCACACCGCAGCTCCCAGCCCTGGCAGAAAGCTAGCCGAGCTAAACCGTATTTAACCCAGGTTTACCCTCAAGAAATTCCCCCCGTAATCCCGAGGCGAGCGTTCATTATTCTAATCCCTTAGCTCCCCACCTGCTATTGGCAGCACACCGCACACACTCCCTTCCAGGAAGAGCACTGTGACACAGCAGGGCCCCCCGCCTCTGCAGGGCACCTCTGCCTCAGAGCAGAGCCCCGCTCCATCAACCCTTCACACCTCGTGCTCAGCAGTTCTCTTGTCTCTTTAGCAGCATCAGGGCCGCCCTCTTCTACCCACCCCAAACGCGTCCCTGTGCGCTGCCGCGGGGTTTGGGAAGCAGACAGCACTCTCTCCTGAAGGCCCCGCACCCCGGAGGAGGCAGGAAGGTCTCCAAGCCACAGAGTGTGGCTGAGCACAATGCCAGGACAGGCAGTGCGGCTGCTTCACTGCTCAGCTGAGGAGCGGAGCCCAGGGACAGCGAGGCGATGGGCACCGCTCCGCTGCCTCGAGCCCTCCTCCACTCTAACAGCAGCACTTTCAGCCTCCTTTCCAGCAGAATTACCAAGGAGTGCAACTGAGCTCCTAAAGAGCAGGTGCTCTTAATCTGCAGCTGCTCAGCCCTCGAGCGTGGATGGGGCAGAGACGGGCTGTGTTCTGGCTGTGGCATGCAGGGCTGTTACCATGTAGCTCCTTCCCCTGGCTCACACAGCCGCACTCCTGCCTCAGCAGGAAGCTCCAGGGAGCATCATGGTGTGTAAAGGTGGCTGAGCCGGAGGGTAGGGTCAGCATTCAGCTGCAGAAACAGGGGAGGACTGAGCACATAGGACAGCTCACTCGTGGGCTCGTGTCACTGCTCAACGCACACTGCTTTGCGGGGTCAGGCCCAGCGGCAAACAATTTATCTCAGCATCAGGTGGAAAAGCAAGGAGACTTATGTAAGAGGATGCTGTGCAGAGGGGATGAAGCCGCTCCCTGTGCTCCCCACACTGCCACCCTGCTGAGCCTGCTCACAGCAGACAGGAGCTGCACAGCGAGGTGCCAGCACTGGCCGCAGGGGAAGCAGCTCACATGGAGCACAGCCAGCGCAGCGCCGCTCCTCCTCAACGCTGCTCTCCACTCTCTCTGCCAACCTCACTAAAGAAAACCACTTCTCACTCCATACCCCTCATTCTGCTGCAACAGCCTGGAAGGGAACTGCAGCACGAGCTCCAAGGATGGCAACCTCTGGCTGACAACTTTACACGAGTGCTAACACAAGCACAGCCCACTTCTGGCCACCAGTGTTCTTTGCACAACCACAAAGTGAGAAGAGCAGAGGGAAAGCAGCCAGGAGCTGAGGCTTTACTTCACTTCTTCCCTGCAAAGTCTTTCAGTTGAGGATGACACACCACGAGTCGATGGCACACAGACACCCCCCCTGCGTCAGTCCCTGTATGCTGACACGTGGCCCCGCGCTGTGAGCACACGCTATTTCTGCCCTGGACACCAAGTATGGCACAGGCACTCCCAACTTCCCTGCACCACGCTGTGCTGAAGATGTGAGCGTTCACAAAGCACTGCTCTGCCCAAACCGGGAAGTCCAGGGTTTGCATTTGGAGCACTCAGCCAGCACAGCAGTGACCGTGCTGGCAGCACAACGGTGCTTCCCTACATCTCTCTTCCTCGGCACCAGAAATGGATCCCAGAAACAAAGAGCCCAGCAGAGACGGCAGCAAGAGGGACACACATCTGTGGGGTCACGCTGCAGTTTCACCCCTTTCCCCCTTTCCCCTCGGATTGCTGCCTTATGGACCGAGACGCGGTGCAGAGGGTGGCTCAGACACAACCTGATGCCACGAGAGCAGCAGGGTCAGGAAGCAGAGGAACACCACCTCCCCGTTGCTGCTCGGTGTGGACGCGGTGGAGGTTGTCCAAACGAACCCACAGGGATCAGGGCACTTACCTATCATCCCTGTTTGGCAATAATCCTGAGATCCTTCCTGGAATACAAGACAGCATCTTTATAACTGGGGAGAAGACAGGGATGTGGGGGCAGAGCGGCTCTCTGTGGGGCAGCAGGACACATGCTGAGCAGGGGAGCGGGGAGCAGCACCCCCAGCCCCACACTGCCAGGAAGGGCTGCTCCAGCATACAGACAGCACGGGTGGCACAGCACTACTGCTGCTCATTCGCCTTCCTCACCTCTGGGTGCTGCACGTCCAGATGCTGACACACCGCAGCGCCACAGGGAGCTGGGCAAGCCCTTTCCCTGAGCAAAGCACAACTTCCTCTCTGTTCAAACCACTGCATAATTAGGAAGGAATGCTGGGTGACCTACAGGAACCTGAAGGCGCCCACCTCCCCACAGCGCTGCGGGTTCCTGTAGGACCAGCCGTCCCACCCAGCCTGCAGCCCCTTCCAGAGCTGCGGTGACTGGAGCGCTGCCACTACCCTGAACCACGACTCCTTTTATACCAACGAGGGGCAGTTTGTTTCTCCTTCCTAACCTCTTGTCAGCCCCCTAATTACCCACCCAATTAAGCGGGAGCAGGCTGTGATCAGAGCACATCGCCACGCTGCACAAACGTGCCACCACCAGGTCCCCCCTCCCCTCAGCAGAGGCACCCAACTGCTCTCCATCTCAGCCCAGTGATGGAGAACACAGCACTGCTCTCGGGTATCACAGCCACGCCAGCCCCTCTCTGCTGGGACTGCATTCCCAACCATAGCAGTGCTCACACAAAGCGCCCTGCTGCACGTTTCCTGTTAAGGCTCCCCTGGTGAATCTGCTTGGAACCACTGTTCCCATACTTAACATTAAAAATTCATGCCCTGTAATGCTATACTCTCATTTCAAAGCTGTTGCTTCGCTTCCATTTGGCCAGACTCTGCAGCACATCCTCCAGAAGTCATCAGTGCTCCAAGCATCACAGTGTTAAAATCGGTCATTAGGAGTATCCGAACATTTCCTCTGAGCACTTTTACCCCCAGATGAGCACAGCACAGCTCTCTGTTGTGAGATCACAAATGGCCAAAGCGATGAGGCCAATGCAGACTTCTGTCAGCCACCCAGCACACAAGCACACAGCACTGCCCTGCCACATCCCAGCTGGGGACTGAAGGCAGAGCTGTGCGGATTCAGAACAGACCTCATGAACATCACAGAATTTGGGAACTTCCCCTTTCGTTACAGCCCCTCTTTTCCTGGTCTCCCAACACTCTGAAACATGGCAGATCGTCAGACTCCACAGCCGTGCCGCTATGAAAGCAGACGTGCAGCAGGAGCCATCCACACCCGGTTCAGGAGGAGTTCACCCCCCAGTTTCCAGCAGCCCGCTCCTGCTCACACCTCACTCAACACAGAGCCTCCTCACCAGCCGGCGGCGGCTGTCTGCCCCTTTCTGTTTGTGTGTCTGTTGTTGGTTTGTTTCCAAAGGGATGGTGGGCACAAGACTGGGCCAGCAACACGGGGCCTTGCTCCCGGTGAGGACAACGAGCACACGGGGGGAAATCAAAGTATGAACTGCAAAGGAGACGCTGCAGAGAGCACACGACGAGCGGGCAGCACCGCCTGCAGAGCTCTGTTTACCTGCTTGTGAGCGTGGTCGTAGGAGTTGATGTGGTTGTCAAACTCCTGGTGCTTCTGGTACTGCTTGTCGCAGAGCTCGCAGTAGAAGTTGGCTCTGAGGTCTTCCAAAGCCTTGGCAATCGCCTTCTCCTTATCCACATAATCCTGCAAAACAAAGAGAAGTTACAAGCTGGACTCGCCCTGGAGCAATTTGAAAGATTCTCTAGAAGTCCTCAGCAAACACCAGCTGAAGGGTTCCTCCTTCCATGAACAAGAGGAGCCACAAGCACCGAAGACGCACTTAGAAAGCTTTCTTCTTTCGATTTGATGAGATCGTGTCCAAGGGAGCGTGCTGAATCTCCCAGTTTACCACCTCAGGGACACAGACACAATACTGCTGATGTGCTGCTGCAAGGCCAGATCTGTGCAAAAAATATTTCGGCACCCGAAGGGGAAAAATCTAAAACATCCTGCTGCTACAAGATGGGCTTTATTTCCCCTCCAAGCGCTACTCTGCTTTTAAATAAAGAAGGATTTAAGCTCCCGTTTTATTGAGCGCAGAGAAACCACGCTAAGAAAGAACAGCACGTGGGGCTGTGGGGCTGCAGCAGGTCGCCATGAAGGCAGGAAAGGAAACAAGCCCAGGACGACGGCGGGCCGGGCTGCTCTGCCAGGCAGAAGGCGCTTCCTGCGCCCAGCAAGGCTGTGCAGCACACATCCTGTGGTGAAGCAGCTCTCACTTATCACTGCCCACACCAGGGAGGGAATGACGGAGCATTTCTCAGCACAGAGAGACCCGCAGCCCCCCCTGGATGTGCTGAATTGCTGCACACAGCTGGCAGCTGCATCACCTCAGAGCTGCGAAGGAACGGCCCTGGCAGAGCTTTAATACAGAAACGCAATAAAGCACATGAGGGAAAACATGCACACAGGGAGGGACTGCTGCAGCTCTGCTGAGTTCCTGGAAGGGACCCGAATGGGACCTGTGCTGAATGCTGGCAGGGAGGCTTGAAAAGGCGGCTGCAGAAAGAAGGGTTTGGTGACACACGGCACTGCTCTCCTTCATTAGGTGCCGCCGACACAGGAGCTCCTGTCCCCACCCAGAGCACAGGAGCACCGCGGTGTTTCTGAAACGTGCCACAAGGTTTCTGTACTGTCACTCAGCTCCAAAGGAATCAATAGACAGCAGTAATCACAAATACAGTAGTTACAGAAGTAAATGAACAAATACAGCAGGAAGTCGCCAAGCAAGTCGAGGTCTCGGGGGAAAAAGGAACATCCAGAAGGGAGGAATGAACTCCAGAGAACACCACCAGTTTGGTAAACCTTAAAACATGGCATATCTATGGACATTCTGTGATGCTGCCCGATCAATCCTCCCACAGAGGGACAGAACAAGAACTTCTCAGCCCTGCAGCCACGTTCTGCCTTGTCAGAGGGCAGCACTTTGCACAGCAGCACTAACACACCGTGTGATGCCTCAGTGCCAGCTGGTAACGGGGAGCCCCTGCAGGCCGGCTCTGTGCGCTCTGTGCCCACAAGGCAGCAGGCCTGGCCCAGCACTGCTGGCTGCGGGACCAAAGCACTGCTGTCCCAAAGCTCTTCAGCAGCGAAACAACTCCAGGTGAGCAACCCACTTGTTCACATGTGAGCTGTCTCAGTGACAGCAGGGAATAACAAGAGTGCATTCCTGCTGCGGTTACAGCAGCCAGCACAGGACTTGGGAACGCTGCTGCTCAGTACCTTGTATTTCTGCCTCAGCTCCTCGGTGTCTTCTTTCTCCACCTCCAGTACACGCCTCCGCTCAGTGGCATCTTCGGCGTAGTCGAGCTTTTTAAAACAAACAGAAGAATTACAAACATTGAAAATGGCCTTTTGTCCCCACAGACCCCTCTTGCACCAGGCACTGCCAGAACATGCAATCTCAAAGCTGGGCCCCTCATTGTGCTGGGTCTCTCCCTCACCGCGCTGGCCTGCAGTGCAGCACCAGCAGCTCCAGCTCTGCGCAGTGGGAGCTGCCAGGCAGAGGCACAAAGCTCAGCTCAGCGGTGCTCAACAGAGCGCAGGTTCTCACAGAAGCATTTCCTGGCTTTAAGAGCACTTTTTGACACCCAGACGGGCCTTTCAACCCCTGCCCCACACCCAGCAGCCTTACCTCCATCTCCATGCGCCCCATGCCCATGACATCGTACTTGACGACAATTGGGATGGGATCTGTCCTCCCTGCAATAGGAACACACAGAGGCGGTCAGGGGCTGCGCCGTGCCCGCGGCTCGCTCGACACATTGGGTTTGGGTGGTTAGAGATCTTGCCTTGGAGTGCAGAGACCAGAAAGCTACAGTGAACCAAACACGAGCCATTCCCACAGCTTGCAGCCAGCCGTGCCTCCCGGCCCCACGCGGCACAGCTCCGTGCCTTCCAACGGCACCGAGGAACCAGCTGGTGCTCAGCGCCCAAGCGCAGCACGTCCTGCTGCGTGTGTGCTGCCAGGACCTGCCAACGAGCCGCTGTGCTCCACGCACAGCTCGCAGACCTGAACCCCACTGCTGCTCAGGAGCACAGAACCCCCACCTCCGCCCTCCCCCGGGGCCGCGGGGCGACGCGGCTGCAAGCTGTGAAAAGGACTGCTAGCGAAGAGAATTGACTTGGAACTAATCAAACTACGCTGGAGATTTTGTTGGGGTTTGGTTTTCATTATTATTTGTTTTTTCAACTTATCTTTAATCCACTCATAACCAGCCAAACAAAGCAAAATGGGGCACGCAAGCACTTTACTACCACAGCTTTTTAATTTCGTTTGGATTGTTCTCTGTTTTGGATTGTTTTGTTGTACGTTACATCCCAACCCGCGCTGTCGGTTGCGATGTAAACCTGCTGGAACAGCACTTACCTTCTCCGGCGCACACCCTGGGTGAGAAAACAGAATGTTTACAGCCCTGCTCATGGCTCTGGGTCGGCGTAAACACCTGCTTTGTTATACACACATACAACACCATTATACCTTTGGGCTCTGAGATCCGCAGGCCTTCCCAGGCCAAAGCGACGCTGCGGCGCAGGGCGCTGAGGGCTGAGCTCCTGGGATGGATGCAGAGCGCTTCTCCAGGGCCCTGGAGCGAGCAGCACGGCTCTGCCTCAGGCAGGCACACAGCTCCGTTTCAGGCTGCGTTGTTTTAGGGGCGCCCATGGCACGCGGCCACAGCTCCAAGCGCGGCCGCCGCGCCGACGCACCGTGGCTCTTTGGAACCACGCTCGCCTTTGGCTGCTTTAATGCTGTTCCTCATTTGAAACGTTTCTCTTTCGCCCAATGGTATAATACAGGAAGCAGTGACTGCAATTTTTAGCAAAAGGACCAAATTAAAGACGGGTTATAAAAATGGCTTCCTAAGCGCAGCATCACTTTCGAAACGTCTCAGGCGGGGCTGGCAAACCCGAGCAGCATGGCTGGCCACGCGTGCCGACCATTCTGCATCTCAGCTTCGTTTTGGGTCGGATTGGGGTTCGGTTCTCCAGCAATGGAGAGCGCGGGTGCCGCCTCGTGGAGCCCCGCACACAAACAGTGCAGCGGAGCTTCTGCCTTCTAAGGCAGGCAGAGTTTTTCAAGATCTCTTTGTAAATTGCAGTAGCAAGTGCTGGTGCCCACGGTGGGGAAAATCAAGTTTGGACAGTATTAGAAATTGACGCTTAAACTGATTTTGGCAGTTCTAACACAAACAGAAACGTCCCTTCTTAGCAATACCCTTTAATGAACGAGGATCAGACAAGTGTGCATAAAGAAAGGAAAGGAAAATGAAAGACCAAGCAGAAGGATGATGGCTACAACAGAGAAAGTAAGCCTAACATATTGGTGCACTGATGACAAAAGGAGTAATTCAGTCTGAAAATTAAAAATTACCACTGCTAAGTTTACCATCACCACAACAAGTCCAGGATCATAACGCTGTAAAAAAGAAACACCATTTGTTAGGCAGAAACCACTGGGGCAGAAAACAGGCGGTTTGCAGCAGGCAGGGAGGTGGGCAACCACAGCGGGCTCCTTCCTCACCCCTCCACCCCAACACCGCGCCGTGGGCCCGGCCGGCGCCGCGCTGCTGTGGGGCGGCCCAACCTCACCTGGTGGGACGCGTGACAGGGCAGCGACATCAGGAGCACCGATCCCAGCGCTCGGCTCGGCGCTCCCGCAGCGCCGCCTCCTGCCGCACCGCGCAGGGAGCCGGGCTCTCAGGAAGGGGCAGGAAGCGCAGCCCGGGATGGCAGCGCAGCTCTGGATGGCAGCGCAGCACCGGATGGCAGCGCAGCTCTGGATGGCAGCGCAGCACCGGATGGCAGCGCAGCACCGGACAGCAGCGCAACACCGGATGGCGCCGAAGGACCGCGGGTGCCGTGAGCAGGCAGTGAGCCCCACAGGTCCGGTCTGCTGCCCCCACAGCCCGGAAACACCACAGGACATCCACCGGCGTGCGCGCAGGGGGCGCCGTGCAGCCGGACGGAGCGCCTCCACGCGGGCAGGAGGCAGAGCTGCCCCCGAGAGCAACTTCAGCACGGGCAGCAGCTCGGCAGCACCGCAGCGCATCCCAGCGCAGCCCCGTGACAGAGCACAGAGCAGCACAGCGCCGGCTGCTCACAGCAGGCAGGAGCGACAACAGGGCAGGAGCGCCGCACGGAAGCACCCCGGCACACCGTGGGACGGGACCGCAGTACGCACCGTCCCTACTTACTTGCAGAGCCGTCCCGCTCGAGGACGAGCTTCGTTTTTCACAAGGACCGCGCAAGCTCTGCAAGCTCTGCAAGCTCCCCCGGGCCGGCTGCACCCCGAGCTCCCGGCCGCCGCCCATCGCAGGGAGCGCCGCCTGCTGCTCACGGCAGCCCTGGACGCTCCCTGCCGGCCCGGAGCAACGCTCCCCCCCAGCCCTGTGCCGCCGGCCGCGCGAGGCGCGTGAAAACAAGGCGGCCTCTCATCCTGCCGTCCTCTGGGAGCGGCACCGCTGAGCTCATCCTGTTTATCTCCGGTTTCTGGCAGGGGCCGCAGACAGACACGAGGCTCAGACGAAGCCTGAAATGCCTCTCCTGCTCGGTGAGGAGCAGGCAGCGCCAGTCCCACGGAGGAGATCCCGAGCCGCGCCAGGAGCTCCGCTGCGTGAAGCAGACGCAGGAGCCGCGCACATGGCGGCCATCGGCTCCCAGCGCTCCTCTCATCAGCGCCGCCCCGTCCTGCGCGTGAAATCCCTGCTGCCACCCTGCTGCCCTGACTGAGCTACACAAGCGGCAGAGATGCCTGTCTGTGCCAACCTCAGATCCCCGCCAGCACTCACTCAGAGGCTGCAGATAAGATCATGTTTACATCCAGTTCTTACAGACGCTGCCAAACCACCCAATTCTTACTGACTAACGGCTGATTCTTCTCCTTTTCTTCCATACTCTCACAAGGCTCCAAACCCCCGAAATGAATACAGAATTCCTCATTTCCTCGTGCTGTTTTTCTCGGATGTGCATTGTTCTGTGTTCCCAGGGCCTCACAAACATCTCTGTGAGATCAGAGCATTTACCAAATGGAAAAACACGGACAGATGAGCTGCCGGCCATTTGGTGAGCCAGCACTCGACACCTCTGGAATGTGAACCCTGAGCACATTTCTCTGGGCTGCAGCTGCCACGCCAGCCCTGCTGTGACCGACCCCAGCGGGCCACACGGTCCCCGAAAGCACCAAGATGTGGCTCAGCTCTGTGACACAGCCTGAGGAGCTGCAGCTGGGCTGGGTGAGGAGCAAACAGCTCCTCCACAGGGGGCTTCAGGAGGGCCCACCTCTGCCGAGCTCAGCGCTCCCTGCTGGGACAGAAGAAATCCAGCAGGGATTTCCCACTCTGCCCCTCCTGCAGCCTCCCCTGCTGTGGCTGCACAACTCCCCACTGCTGAGGCGCTGCCTGCAGTGCAACCCCCAGCTGCACTGACGTTGGGGGAGCCCTGGTGGGTGGAACGGCTCCTGCTGCAGGAGCACCGGCTTTGTTCAGGTCAGCCATGTGGAAACAAGGGGAGGGTGACCTCAGCGTGTGCAAAAGAATCAGCTCTGAGGGCTGGCTGCCAAATGCAGGACGGCAGGTAATGTATTCATGGCGAACAGAAATGCAGAGTGCTCTGAGTTCTGCACTACCGGACGTCCTTTAGGCTCCAGCGCAGTGCTCACAGCACGGCAGCTCTGCGTTCTCTCCTCAACCTCTTTAGAAATCTCCGTTGGATGTTTTGATGAAAATAACATGGAAGTGAGAAGATGTCTTTGTTCTGCTCTCCTGTCCTCAGCGCACATCAAATGCCCTCGCTCCCCATGGTCCCGAAGCACAGTTCAAACTGGAGGCCACTGCTTCCTTTCTTCAGTTTGCAGATTTGGGGTTTGGGGACGATTCAGGTAGAAAAGCCACAGGACAAGGAATGAAACACCCTCAGAGCGACGTCCCGCGGTGCCGCACGGCAGCAGGGAGCTCCTCCCGCAGCCCGGTGCAGCAGGGGTGGAACTCGATGCCCGCGGGGCCCTTCCAACACAGCCCACCTGATGCTGCGGAGCAGCAGGACACAGCAGCACGTCCCCACAGCTGCCCTCCGCCCCCCACACTGCTGGCAGCCCCAGGGCCGTGGCCTCATGCAGGTGCGCCAGGCCCGGCCTTCCCTCGGCTCACTGCTCCCATGCAGAGTGACAGAGGGACACCCAGAGGGGGAAACAGGCTGAGGAACACGCAGCCAACGCTGCGCCACAGCACGATGCTGAGGGCGGCAGCTCCAGCCCCCTGCACACCGGCACGAGGCACAGTGACAGTAAGAAGGGCAGCATGAGCCACAGAACTCTGAATGGAACCCAGGTAGGGGCAGCGAGGAGCATTAACCACCAGTGTGGCCCCATCCAAGTGGTCAGAGAGCCTCAGCCGCAGAGCCCACCGCATCCCAGGGCATCTCCAGGGCGCAGAGCCCCGCGCCTCTCCAACAGTCCTCAGCTCTGCAGGGCCGCTGGGGGCGGCAGGGCCACTCACAGGCTGCCAGCTCTTCAGACTACAGCCAGGGGAGCAGCGAGCTGGGCGGCCCGGCTGCCAGCAGGCCGTGGGCACGCGGCCCCATGCGGCCCCACACCACCCCAAGCGGCCCCACGTCGCCCCACACGCTCGGGAGCCATGGAGCTCAGCCCCCCAGCCGCAGCGCTGCGTGCAGTCAGTGCAGCACCACGTCCGACCCGCAGCGCCTCCCCACAGAAACCCAGCAGTGCCTCTGCCTGCACACGGCGGCGGCCGCAACGACCCACGTAGGAACGGAGAGCAGAGGTTCTGTGGGAGCTCACGGCAGCACTTACCCTGCAGCGACTTGCCCAAGCCCTGGCCCAGCTTCCAGCCATGCTTCTGCAGTAAGCGGTGTCCGATATTATCCTGACAGACAGAACAGAGAGAACAAACCAAAAATATTCCAATAATTTATCCTTCCCTTCCCGCCGCCACTGAAACATGTGATGAACGAGAGATTTTCTACATAGATACGCATGCAAAAAAATGCTACTGAGAAGGCAACGTGTGCCCAAGGAAAGGGAGAGACCGATGGCAAAAATTGCTGGCTGGAATTGTTGCAGGGCCGGGGTTGGCCGCTGTCTGATGGTGTGCTGGGCAACGTGTGTGCGTCAGGGGAAAGGAAAACAACCACGACAACCAAAAAAAACAGAAAGCAATGGGGGAGGAAAGGTGTACCGATCAAAATCGACAGTAAAAAGCATAAAATCAGGCTACTGAGACAATCGTATCCATCACCTAGACAGCACCATTAGGAGGCTGGCGGAGGTCTACGCTGGGTTTAGTCGCTTGGTTTGCGTGTCAGGATTTAGAGAACCGAAAGCTGTCAGTGCAGCACTGCCCACCACTAAAACCAAACGCAATCAGAGCACAATCCAGACTACACTTGATTGGGTTTTATATATGTATATATAGATATAAACTAGCATGCAGCCAATATTAAACTGAAAAAACAGTGAGGTTAGTAAAAACAAAATAAGAAAATCGATTAAATAAAATGAGCTCAAGCACAGACTGGGTGATGCATCTCACATGGAAACTAACCAAACACTAAGGTGTTAGAATGGAACAGGCCTAGCAGTCATAACAGCGAGGAACCATTAGTGCACGGGGGGAACAATTAGCATAATGTCTCATCTTCCCCAGGAAAAGCCGATCTGGCGGGTGGAAAACCGCGCAATTAAGGGCTGGCTTTTAATTGGGCCGCCGGCGGGGGGCGCCTGCAGCAGCGCGGCGTGAGAGCAGCACGAGGCGGGGATGAGACATTGTGCTGACTGCGGGTGAGCGAGGCACCAGGGGACACGGATGGAGCGGGACGCTATTTCCAAAAGCAGTGCAAGTGGAGTGAAAGCATTTCCATACGAACCTGGCTTTAAAAACTGGGCTGTCAAAAGAACAGTTAAATGTAACACAAAGTAAGAAACTGTCCAATCACTAATGGTCGTTTTTCTTTTGCTTTGTTTTCAATTCACTGCTTGCAAGTAATGTACTTACTAAAGAAGAGTGAAAGCATAAAATAAATTCAACAAGTCAAGACCAGCTGGGAGATTCAAGAGCGGTGCGTTGTGACTGACACAGTGAGGGGGGACGAATGTTAAGGGGAGAACAGACCCACTGACAGGCTATACACACAGCGCCACTCTTACAGCGCCACTCAAGAGGACGGCCGCCCCAACCCAGGCTGCAGCACGCTCAGCACGCAGCTCTGGGCACGGCGCCCCTCTCACACCCAGCCCTGCTGCCACTGAGCTGCGACCTTCGGCCGGTCGGCGCCCTCTCAGGACACATGACTGCCTGCCGTCAGGCCCCACGTGCTCACGCTGCTGCTCTGGGGCTGCCCGCACCACGGATGCAGCAGGAATGGGAGGCTGGGCGGGCGAGGAGGGCCGGGGGCCTTTGCTCCTATGTCTCTACATGCAGATGGGAGCTTTGCGAGGCGGAAACGCGGGGCTGTGTGCCCCGTGCCCGGCCCGGCTGCTAAGCCAGCTGGAAGCCAGCACTGCGACCGTGTGTGACAGCACGGCCTGCAGCCTGCTCCAGAGCGAGCGGGGAAAGGCACAAAGATCTGCGTGAGAACTGGAGGGGTTTGGTGCTGCTGGGGGCGGGAGAGGCCCTGCGGCAATAGGGGGCTCTGCAATGTGCAGTGGGGCTGCATGGAGGCCAAACCAGAACCGGCTGCGCCCTGTGCAGGGCTCCCATGGGATCCCAGGGCTGCAGCGCTCTGCTCCTCTGCAGGCAGCACCGGGAGCCGTGAGTCTCTTGAGTGGGCTGTAAGCTGTGCTGACTGTGTATGCGGGACCAGAAGCGAGGATTGGATGCTACGGGGTGAACCCATGCAAACGAGAGGTTGAAAAGAGTCCCAAAACAAAACCTAGAGCTCACTACAGATGACACAATGAAGACCAGAGAGAAAAGCCAAATAGTAATGCTACACCATTCAGCTTCAAGAAGCACGTTATTTATAGCGCTGTCCACACGTGGCTGCTGCTAAATGTCAAACCAGCAGCCTCTCCCAGTTACACTTTGGAACCAGTGGAGTCCACAGATCTGTACAGGTGGTGCGACCAAAGGCAGCGGGCCGGCAGCACGGCTCTGCGCCGAGGGCAGGGAGCAGCGTGCTGCTGAGCACCGCTCACCTCGGCGCCGTGCCGCCTCTGTGTGGGGACAAGAGCCGAGAACTCACAGCCATGGGACTGGGGTCGAGGAGCGCAGTGTGGGGAGGACGGGCCCTAGGAGAGGAGCCACGCGTCGCCGCTGCTGAGCTGAGCGCACGCTGAGTGCTCACAACCAGCACAGCCCTCTGCGAGCTGAGATGCTGCACGAGGGCTCCATGGCTCAGGATGAGCAGCAGTGGCTGCGCCGACGCCACCAGCGTGTGTGCAGCACCTTTCAGAGCAGCACAAAGGTGCCGTCACTCGCGGGGGAAGCGAAAATATCGCTCTCAGAACTATGAGGAGTCCATTGATGGGAAATACTTTCAATTTAAGAATGGAAAATTGCTTCTGGCTGAGGCTGCGCACATCTCCGGGCCCGGGCCGGCCCTGCTGCCATGTTGTGCTGTGCTTGGAGCCGCGCGTGGCCGTGGCCCAAACAAGGCAGGGCTGCACGGAGCCAAATGCCGGCATGTGAATTGAGGACACGTGTCAGCATTGTAACGATCTGTAGACTCCCAGACCTTTGTTTCCAGCCACCTCCGAGTTGCATGCTGTAGCAGTACGGTCAGCGCCTCTCACCAGATAATGCTGCAGAGATGGATTCCCCATGGCACTTTGGCTACGCTCTGTGTTTGCTGGGCCGGCAGCACGAGGTGCCAGCAGCCTTCCTGCCAGAACAGCAGAGCTGCAGGGAACCCCCCTGGGAACTTGCTAACTTCAGCCCGTGGGTCATTAAGAGGGCAGGAAACATTTTCACTGGCAGCGGGAAACCTGACGCATTATTCTTGCTTTCCACCTGCAGGTCGTCTTCCGAGAACCAACAGCGTTCTGAATGAAGACAACGTGGAGATGGAGGCTGTGCTGAGTGAGGGCAGCCCGCAGCGCCAGGCCTGCTCACGAGGCCGAGGGCAGAGCCATGAAGGCTCAGTGCAGCAGTGCAGGGCAACGGCCGCCCAGCCGACAGCCCTCAGGTGGAGCGCAGCTCAACCAGGAGGCCAAAGCGAGGTGTTAAACCGACCCAGAGCTGCGAATCGCCGCCCCCATCGGATGGCAGCACGGAGCCAAACCCTGGGATTGCTGGGGTTGGAAGGGACCTCAGCGGCCCCACGCTGAGCAGAGCTGAATTAAATGCTAAAGCTGCCACTTCATTCGCAGCCTTCTGCCGCGGCTCCTCGCTGAGCAAAGCCCCCGCGACCACAGGCTGTGCCTGCAGAAGCCCAGCACGCGCCAGGCACTGCCGTCCACGTGCAGCTCCTGCGGACGCGCTGGGACCCCAAGAGCCCCCAGCTGGGGACGGAGCTCAGAGCCGGGCACCTCCTGACACCAGGCCGCCATCTGCGCCGCCATCAGCGCTGCGTGCAGCAACGTGCCTGAGTGCTTCCTGGATCTGTCAGCACTTCCATCGCAGCCCCGCGCCACACAGCGCGACTGAGGTATTCAGGACAACGCTGAATACAAACCCCATCTCTGCAGCATTATCTCATGCGTCATCGATTACTGCCATGCCTGGATCTAGCATCATGCCAGCACAGAAGACAGGAGGTACTATATGCAGTGTTCACTGGACCAGAAGAACAGAAATAAGAAAAGGGAAAGGAAACCCTAGAGAAGAAATTAAAAAAGGCAGACCGTGCAATACAAACCAGATCGGGGCTGCTTAGCTACTATGGACCAACTGCTGCGGAAGAAAAACGTCGAACACCCCAAGTTGTGTAAATTCTGGTAAACATCCAAACACACACAAACACACACAACACCAACCTACACACCAGGGAGGAGACGCTGAGCCCTCGCTAACTCCGAGTGCTTCTAAGTGGGCACGGACACGGAGCAGCCTCAGCAGCTTCGTTTCTTAGGTGGGAAAGGGAACACCTGAGAGCTCCTGCCTCTAACAGCAGCGGTTTCTCCGAGCAGAGCTCTGTGTCAGCTCAGTGCTCACCACACTTCCTCCTCTCCCACTGCTGCTGCACTGACTGAGGCTGCAGGGCTAAAGCTGGACGCCAGGCCCGCAGGTGAGCACAGCCCTGCACCCACGGCTGGCAGAGACAGGACTTAAAAGGCTCCAAAAAGCTTTAAAAGGGAAAACTACACAAAACTGAGGCTTGCCCCGTTTTATGGCTGTGTTCTCCACATTCATAAAAAAAAGAAAAAAAAAAAAAGGCCACAAAACACACAAAAGCAACACTTAAAAATCCTGGCCGCAGTTCCGGCCCCATGGGGCAGCTCTGCTGCACTGCCACAGCCGTGCTCCCTACCGCCAGGTGCATCCCAACCCACCGTCAGCAAAACACGACAGGGGATCAGCAGGCACTCTGCTGCGCTATCCTGCGGCTCTGCTAAGAATTAAACTGATTCTTTGGCAGAAATATAAAACAACCTAACGGCTCTGGGTGGCTGAGGTCAGCGCTGAAGTACGGCACCGAACTTGGACGGCACGGTGCAGGATGGCTGCTGGCAGCCGGCAGCCCTGCACACACAAAGCTCAGCATGCAGCTCGCCCCTCCTGCCCACAGCAACGCGCCCGGGGCCCAGCACGGGGCAGGAGGGTGCCGGTGCTGAGCACAGCCTTACCGATTCGATGGGCTTGTCCAGGGACGCCTGCTCTATCTCCAGGTGCCCTTCTTCATACTGGTCGAAGTGGTTGCCCTGCAAGAGAAGAGCACGGTCAGCTTTACGGCTCGGCCCACAGCTCTCGTTTCACGTGCAGGTTTGGGCTCAGGTTTGTTCGCTCCATTTTTACCAGAAATGATCAAACTCAGCACAGGCCCGGCTCGGTCCGTGGGCTGTCAGGAAGGCGCCCGAAATGCCCAACGTGAATGGCACAAATTGTGAGACATCACACACGTGAGACGGCGGCACTTCTGGCTGCCCACACACTGGGGCAGCGCCACCCCAGGGCCGGCTGGAGCTGGCTGCCCCACGGTGCAGCTCTGGCCCTGCGCTGAGCTGCTGTGGAGCTCTGCAGGCACAGCGCTCGACAGCGACAGGAGCACAGAGCCGTGCCTGCCCAAAGCAGGGCCATGCGCCCGCCCCACCACCGCAGCACAGCAGGCAGCAGGGCAGCTCTCCCGTCCTGTGCGCTGGGCACAGAGCGGGGACGGAAGCAAGCAGCGGCACGCTGCCCTGCTCTGTGAGATGCTGAGCGCTGGGGCTCAGCCAGGAGAGCAGCCAGCAGCACCAGCAGCCATTTCAGGACAACCATCTCCATTGTGGCTGCTCCGAAGCTGCAAATTCCTAAGACCACAAAGGCAGAGAATCATTTTTGCCCACAGGAGATGCTCACGCTGCACCCCCAGCAGCCAGCGCTCCCAGTGCTGCCCACAGCATCCCGCCCGGGGCAGCCACCCCCCACCAGTGCCCCCCAGTGCCTCGCAGCCCAGCACCGCCCAGGAGCACCCAGTGCCGCTGCTGGGAACACAGCATCGCTGCTCCCTTCCACCAGCACCAGCTTCTGCTGCAAGGAATGCTCATGGAAGCAAACGTGAGAAAGGGCTGCTGCTAATCCCAGCTGAGTGCAGCTGGCAGAGCACAGGGCAGCCCCCGAACCCCACTGTGCTGTGCTCCCAGCTGGCCAGGCAGCCCCAGAGACCCAGTGCCAAGAGAAAGCGATCTGGTGCTCGTGCCCAAACACCAGCTGCCCTGCAGCCATCCTCCCTGCAGCCCCTCACAGCAGAGCAGCAATCCAAGAACGCAACCCGCAAAGCATTTTGGTGAGGAGCATTACAAACACAGCAAACGCAAAGTGCTGGCTTTTCTCCCTTCTGACTTCCCAGCATGACTCGCTGCCTGCAGCCAGCTCTGACTGTGCCAGCTGGGTCACTTGGGCTGCCCAACCCCCTGCCTGCTCCATGTGAAGGCAGCGAGGCTCAGCGAGGCTCCCAAGCACGCCTGGCCCATCCCAAGCTTTGCTGACAAAAACAAAAGTCCCCTCCCGGAAGCGAATCCAAAGACTGAACCCCATCCAAGCCAAATGCAAAGCAGCCCACAAGCAAACCAAGCTCATGTGAGAGCCAGCGATCCCCCACTGCTCTCGCCTTGGGCCTGACTTGATGCATTTGCACCCTTCCGGGACCTGGGAGCCAAGGGGGGGGCAGCCCTGCAGCCACAGAGCTCCATCTGCCGCCTCGCTGCACTCCGAGGGAGCTGGCACTCCAAACGGAGCCATTTTGTGCCACTGTGCCCCGAGACAATGGAGCAGAGGGAGACGTTTCAATCTAACCGTTAATTAAACCCCAAACACGCTGAGAACACAGCGCTCCTGGCAAACGAGGCTGTGAGCACAGGGCACGCAGTGCCATCGCTGCCACCCGCGCCTCCACAGAGGGGAGCTCCGAGCAAAGGGAACCATCGCCACCAAAACAGTCACAGGAGTGCTGCTGAGCAGCAGAAGGAGCTCCTACCATGGCTGCTGAGCACACAGCCCTGCTGCCGACCAGGGCCGCCCTGCCAGCAGCCAGCCCTGCCCGCCCCCATCGCCTCTGCTAACAAGGGAAGGCCAAAAGGGGCCACAGAAGCCCACAGTGGCTGCGAGGAGCCGGGCAGAGCGCGGCCCAGCACACACACGAGGTGCCACAGTCCTGCTGCCAGAGCTCACCGGCTCTCACGGCACGCAGCCACGGACGGTCTGTGATTCCCAGCTGTGCCTCCGTGCCACCAAACGGCTCCAAAGCGGAGCCAGTGCTGACAGCTGTGCTCCCAAACAGCTCCAGGAAAGCACGGCGTGGCGGTGCTGCTCCAGCACTCATCACAGGCACAGAAGGTGACACATTCTGCAGGCCAACACGCGCCCTCAGAGGCTCCACCAACCCTCAGCTCTCCTGGACCACGTTAGGGCTTCTGCAAAGGGCAGCACGAGCTGCTGAGGGGAGCTGGGAAGCCCGACTTAACACTCGGCCACAGTCAGACCCTCCTGCTGCTGCGTGCTGAGCGCCGCACCGAGCCGACAGGCCAGCAGGATCCTCGTGCAGCAACGTGCAGGGAAGCCAGCGCAAAACGCAGCGCCCTGCGGAGCTCCTCCTGCCCACGGGGCACTGCACACCTCAGCGTCTGTGGCAGCAAACCCACACTGTAGGCAAACATACGGCAGCGAGGGCCGAGCGCTTCAAGAGAAAACCTCTCCAGCTGATACAACAACAGCAATTACAACACAGGAATTTCAATTGGCAGCTTTTGAAAGGAGCACCCTTAATTGCAAGGGAGAGGCGGGCAGCTCCTGCAGCTCCCAGCCCCCAGCGCCGCTCTGACAGCAGCACGCAGCCCCACGGCCAGCAGTGGCTCCTGGCTGTGATGGCAGCACGGCCTCACGTGGACTCCTGGCTTCCCAGCTCTGCACGGCCAAAGCCTCAGAAGAACCACCTGCCCAAAGCGCTGCAGGAAGACGGGCTGAGAACGGCTGTGGTGGGAGCTGCACAAGGAGAGCAGCACGTCTGCACGTCTGCCCTGGGGACGCAGAGCTGCAGAGCCCCACTTTGTGCCCAGGGCAAACCCCACCGGGACCCAACCTGCTGCGATGCGGGGCGCTCAGCCCTGCAGGGCTCTGCTGCGGCTCCTCGTGCCGACCTGCACGGGGCTCTGCTCCCAGCTGCAGCACAGCTGGACACCAGCACAGTGTGTCACCACAGGAACTCACTGCGCACACAGCAACAGCCCTGCTACAACTGAAGGGAAGCCGCAGCCCTGCAGTCACACATTCCCCACCTCCCCACTGACCCCTTGCCCCCCTCCCACCCCTCCTGTTGTGCTGCTGGTTTCCCTTTCCCCCTAACAGCGCAGAGCCACGTGCAGCCCACAGCCTGTCCTCATCTCCCTGGAGCAAATCAGAAGCACAGAAACCCAACCGACACCCCGGCAGCTCCGTGCCGCTCAGGCCCTGCCCCGGCTCACCACTGCCCAGCCAGCCCTCCCAGCCCATCTCCAGCAGAAAAGAAACAACTGACAAAACCAGAGCAGCTCTCAGTGTTGTTTTTCCCATCCTGGGACAGCTTCCTGTTGCTGCATCGCTAACCCAAAGGCATCTGCCTCTCCTCCCCAGCGACGAGGATCCTCTGACCCGCACACTGCGCTCCCGACCTTTTGTTTCTCTTCCTTTCTCGGGGCTCTGCACATCTTTGGCTTCGCTGAGATCACAAGACCACGAGCAGATGGCAAAGAACGCAGCCTGAGAGCTCCTCCGCTGACCCCAGCCCAGCTCCCAGCGCAGTGGCTGAGCCCAGCCTTCCAGTCCAGCAAGCCCACCTGCCAAAGCCTGCAACCAAGATGCTACAAATTGGTTGAAAAGGCTTTTTGAACACCGGCAGCCCTACAAAGGGAGCCTACATACAAAGCCCTGACTTCCTACCGACAGTCTGAATTTTGCCACAGCTGAGAGCAGCGCTTTGCGCTGACAACCAAAAGCAGAGTTGGTGCCTCACAGCCCCCCGCTGAGCAACGCAGGTCCTCCTGCACCCCACACAGGGCTCTGCCTCCAGCAACCTCGGTCTGAACACCTGAACACGAGCTCAGAATTCACCTCCAGGAGCAGCTAACAGGGAGGAAGGAGCAGCAGGGCCCCCAGCAGCACGGCGCCGAGCCACAACCCCCAGCCCAGCAGCAGGGCTCCACACAGACACCTGAGCGGCTCCTCTATAATTCATCCCTCACTCTGCGGGCTCACAGCCACTCTTCCCGTTTCCCATTTCCCCCACAGGAAGGCTCCACACACAAAACAAACCCATCTCCTCGCTTCGGAACTCACAGAGGAATCAGAATCAGCCTAGTGTGGCACAAGGCCCCCCTCACATGAGCCCACGGGAAACAACAGAGTGCGACGCCCGGCACGGACACAGCCCTCATCTGCAGCCATTGTCTGAGAGCAGCTCGCCATGCAGGGCTGTGCTGCCTCTCCTCTGACATCACACACTGACACACCAGCAGGTTCTGCCACTGCCATTACTTGCTGTGAAGCCATGCTGCCCTGCAAAGGAAGGAAAACAAGGCGAGCTGAACCCACATGTGCACACATTGTGCACCGCACAGCCAGGAGCTGCCCGCCGCCCTGCTCTGCAGAGCTCCCACTGCGAGGCTCCCCCGCCTTCTGCTCCTAAGGGAACCATCACAAGAAATGCGTCTTCAAGCCCAACCTCTGCCTGCCCGGAAAAGGAACCTGCAAGCGGAATCGCACCGTGTCAGTGCTAATTAGGGGGGGTTTAACGAAGTCACCCCACGCGTGGGCTCACAGCGCGCAGCTCAGGGTGTGTGCACAGAGCTGAGGTCCCCTCTCAGCCGCCTCTTCTCCAGGCTGAACAGCCCCAGCTCGCTCAGTCTCCCCTGGCAGGAGATGCTCCAGCCCCCATCTCACAGCCCCCGCTCTCTGCAGATGATCTGAACTGAGCAGCCCAGAGCTCAGATATTCCAGATGCGGCCTCCCCAGGGCAGAGCAGGGGGGAGCAGAACCACCCTCGCCCTGCTGACCACTCCATAAGTGCACCTCAGGGCCCCAGGCCACGCTGCCGGCTCACGGCCAGCCCCTGCCCACCACAACCCCCGCGTCCTCAGTGCACGGCTCCCTGCACGGCTCAGCCCCCACCTGCACTGCTGCTGAGCTGGTTTCCCTGCAGGTGCAGAGCTCTGCACTCACCCTCATTGAACCCAGCAGGTTCCTCCCTGCCCAGCTT